GGGGGGGGGGGGGGGGGACGGGTAATGCCTCTCCACCTGGCTTCCTGATTGGCCAGCTTCTTGACCAATCAAAAGCTGGGTGGCGAGTCATTACACAGCACCCGGCTTTCTGATTGGCCAGGAAGCCGGCTCCATGCTACCTCCTCACCCGGTGATGAGGAAGCCAAGAGCTGGCTTTCTGGCTAGTCAGGAAGCCGGTGGTAAGTCATTAAATGCCTTTCCTGATTGGCTGGAAAGCCGGCTCCATGCTCCCTCGTCACCAAGTGAGATTTCCCTTCACTTCCTGTCCTGAAGATGCAACAGGAAGTGAGAGGAAATCTTTGCAAAGTGAGGGAAATTCCCATTTACCCCCATTGGAAGATTTTCCCTCACCTCTTGCTCTCATGACAACTCCAAAATGGAAGATTTCCCTTTACTTCCTGTCTTGGTGATGGTGGTCACCAGGATGAATTGAGATGGTAGATCTCCCCAGCAGGTACACAGACAGCACTTAAATCTTGGCAGGGAGTCTAACCGTTCCCTACTCTATCCAATGTGATACAAGTGTTGCCTGTACCTATACCGTAACATCCCAACAAACCCTAAAATACAGAAAAGCAAGGGAGTGGATCATTCAGGTACCATAGATGTTTAAGGCCCCTTTCTCACAGGCGGTCCGATCGGGCCCACCTTTCAGTTTTTTGGTCGGACCAGATCGGCTGCCCAATGCTAGTCTATGGGCAGCTGTGTGTAAACAGATTGGCATCCGCTTACACCCGGGTATCCTCAACTCCGGCCAAAAAAGAACAGATGATGAGCCCGTGTGAAAGGGGCCTAACACAAAACAAAACAATGATAGTCCCGCATTTGCTTTGCTGTACGCTATGGGTCTCTGACTACTAGTGAAGGCTCTCGGCCAGCTGGGTTTATGAAGAGACCAATTGGCCACCCTTCACCGAGGCCCATGTAGTGTACCTACAAATCTAATCCTGATCCCACCCAAAATGGCTTCCTTCATTAGCCAAATGTATATTTTCTTGCACGGCAGTAATAGTTTTTGATCGTTCTCCTGCCCATCATAAGGCATGTGCTCGAGATCTACATGAGCCAACGTCTTGATGCTGTTCTCCTAGCGGAAGTGATGGGGAATCCAAAGTGTTTGAGTTGCCAGGAACAGGAATAGAGGAGAAATCCTTCCAATGGAGAAACCTATTCTAGTGAAAACTGTCTGAGAAGGGGTATCCCCTCACTTTGGAGAGAACTTATCTTACTTCCTGATGGGTCTGTGGGAAATACAGGATAAACTCCCCACCCCCCTCCCCCCCCCAAACAAAAAAAACTTCTAAAGCATTTAATAGTGTGCACCCATCATCATACAGCCAGTGCCATAAATGTACCAAGCGTACACAATTCTTTCAAGCTGTAAATAAGCTTCAAGACAATCCAGCACTGACCCTTGTAGCTGCATGCACTGTGGGGTAATTCATCCTCAAAACCTATTTGAGAATACTTCCAGGGTGATATCACTTCAGCTGATTTTGCTCCCCCTCCCAGCAATAACTTTGCAGCTTAGATCCCACCTGCCAGCAGTGACTCAGCAGCTCACTTCTGCCTCCGAGGAGTGGTTTGGCAGCATAGCTTCCAGCCGAGCAGCTCAACCTGTTTCCCCTTCCAGCAGTAACTGGGCAGCTCAGCTCCCCCTTCCCAGCATTGGCTCAGCAGCTCAGCTCCCCCTTCCCAGCATTGGCTCAGCGCCCCCTTCCCAGCATTGGCTCAGCGCCCCCTTCCCAGCATTGGCTCAGCGCCCCCTTCCCAGCATTGGCTCAGCGCCCCCTTCCCAGCATTGGCTCAGCGCCCCCTTCCCAGCATTGGCTCAGCGCCCCCTTCCCAGCATTGGCTCAGCGCCCCCTTCCCAGCATTGGCTCAGCGCCCCCTTCCCAGCATTGGCTCAGCGCCCCCTTCCCAGCATTGGCTCAGCGCCCCCTTCCCAGCATTGGCTCAGCGCCCCCTTCCCAGCATTGGCTCAGCGCCCCCTTCCCAGCATTGGCTCAGCGCCCCCTTCCCAGCATTGGCTCAGCGCCCCCTTCCCAGCATTGGCTCAGCGCCCCCTTCCCAGCATTGGCTCAGCGCCCCCTTCCCAGCATTGGCTCAGCGCCCCCTTCCCAGCATTGGCTCAGCGCCCCCTTCCCAGCATTGGCTCAGCGCCCCCTTCCCAGCATTGGCTCAGCGCCCCCTTCCCAGCATTGGCTCAGCGCCCCCTTCCCAGCATTGGCTCAGCGCCCCCTTCCCAGCATTGGCTCAGCGCCCCCTTCCCAGCATTGGCTCAGCGCCCCCTTCCCAGCATTGGCTCAGCGCCCCCTTCCCAGCATTGGCTCAGCGCCCCCTTCCCAGCATTGGCTCAGCGCCCCCTTCCCAGCATTGGCTCAGCGCCCCCTTCCCAGCATTGGCTCAGCGCCCCCTTCCCAGCATTGGCTCAGCGCCCCCTTCCCAGCATTGGCTCAGCGCCCCCTTCCCAGCATTGGCTCAGCGCCCCCTTCCCAGCATTGGCTCAGCGCCCCCTTCCCAGCATTGGCTCAGCGCCCCCTTCCCAGCATTGGCTCAGCGCCCCCTTCCCAGCATTGGCTCAGCGCCCCCTTCCCAGCATTGGCTCAGCGCCCCCTTCCCAGCATTGGCTCAGCGCCCCCTTCCCAGCATTGGCTCAGCGCCCCCTTCCCAGCATTGGCTCAGCGCCCCCTTCCCAGCATTGGCTCAGCGCCCCCTTCCCAGCATTGGCTCAGCGCCCCCTTCCCAGCATTGGCTCAGCGCCCCCTTCCCAGCATTGGCTCAGCGCCCCCTTCCCAGCATTGGCTCAGCGCCCCCTTCCCAGCATTGGCTCAGCGCCCCCTTCCCAGCATTGGCTCAGCGCCCCCTTCCCAGCATTGGCTCAGCGCCCCCTTCCCAGCATTGGCTCAGCGCCCCCTTCCCAGCATTGGCTCAGCGCCCCCTTCCCAGCATTGGCTCAGCGCCCCCTTCCCAGCATTGGCTCAGCGCCCCCTTCCCAGCATTGGCTCAGCGCCCCCTTCCCAGCATTGGCTCAGCGCCCCCTTCCCAGCATTGGCTCAGCGCCCCCTTCCCAGCATTGGCTCAGCGCCCCCTTCCCAGCATTGGCTCAGCGCCCCCTTCCCAGCATTGGCTCAGCGCCCCCTTCCCAGCATTGGCTCAGCGCCCCCTTCCCAGCATTGGCTCAGCGCCCCCTTCCCAGCATTGGCTCAGCGCCCCCTTCCCAGCATTGGCTCAGCGCCCCCTTCCCAGCATTGGCTCAGCGCCCCCTTCCCAGCATTGGCTCAGCGCCCCCTTCCCAGCATTGGCTCAGCGCCCCCTTCCCAGCATTGGCTCAGCGCCCCCTTCCCAGCATTGGCTCAGCGCCCCCTTCCCAGCATTGGCTCAGCGCCCCCTTCCCAGCATTGGCTCAGCGCCCCCTTCCCAGCATTGGCTCAGCGCCCCCTTCCCAGCATTGGCTCAGCGCCCCCTTCCCAGCATTGGCTCAGCAGCTCAGCTCACCCTTCACAGCATTGATTCAGCAACCCAGCTCACTCCGATCTTCCTCCTATAAGTGACTCGACAGCTCAGTTCCTCCCCTCCATCAGAAGTGATTTAGCAGCTCAGCTCCCACCTAGCAGCAGTGACCCGAATGCTCCGCTTACCCTGCTCACCTTTCCATTAGTAGGCATCCTGCTTCCATATCTAGAACTTCCATATCCTGGCCACAGCTGTAGGAAAGTTTCCCTCGTTGATTCACTTTCCCCTCAGGCAATGTAGACGGCACTTGTGTGTTTCTAATATGCTTCTTGATGCCCAGTTAGAAAGTAATTGTGTTGGTGCTCCACAATTAATTGAATGCAGACTTTGCGGTCTGTTGGTGTTGACAATCCAGGCCTCCCTCTCCTAGGTGCCTACTCCATGTAGGAGGAAACATAGGTCAGAACAGGAACCTCAATCAATGGCACCGTGCCCCTAGCACTCTTGTATACACGGCCTTGTGATGGGCAGGAGCATGAGACTGTTGTTGGAGTAACCAGTGCTGATTGTAGAGGGAGTATTCATACTTCTACCCAATAGAGGGAACACTTCCTCTCTGAGGAGGTGCAATGTGAGAGATTCTAAATCATCCAAAAATGTGTCATCAGGACCATGAATCTTCAAGCTTTCTAGTCGGCAGTCTGGCTGTAAGGTGGGACAAAGCGCGTCTTATGGAGTACTGCGCTCTTTCCGCTACTTTCTTGGGTGGTTCCGCAGCTGTTCGCACTCGGCAAATGAACTCCGGCTGAACAGCTCACGTACATCCTCGTGAACCGACTTTTTATGACACAAAGCAAACCATTCATAATAACCAACTCCACTTGTTTCCTAAATCCCAGAACATCAGGAGCCACCATATTGTAACCATTTTTAAACGACGCCGGTCTCCTTCTCGGGTTCTATCGCTAGCGTAACGTTTGCTGTGAATATAAGCGGTCGCCCCCTATCATAGGTCGCTGAATTTCATGCTCGAGATCTTTTAGGTTCTGTCTATTTAATGCATCCCAATTATTTTATTAAAAAATAT